ACCACAGAACCTTGCAGACGGAATGACGAAAATCAACCCACACGCTTTTCGCCAGCTTAACAAAGCAATGAACTCAGTTATTTTACCAAACAACATAGTAGCCCTTTTATCCTCCAACTAAACTATCGGCCGCTCCGGTGCCTGCGTTTCCCACCGTCCACATGACGACGTATTCGCCTCATCGGTAGCTCTCGTATTTCGATCACCCCCTCCCAACTCGAATCCTTCCCGACAGCCATACCCAGCGTCTCACGGTTCATCCTAACTGGATAACTCTCGGCAGGATCGATGAACACACTCCGACGGCAATCCGCTACAATGCAGTGATCAACGCCGCCTGAGCCCCTAATGCGTACCACAAAGACCCCTTCGTTCCTCTTGCACAGCCAGCGTCTGCCGATTTCCGCCGCTGGAACTCCAACACGCCGCACTTAAAACCGTTGGTCCCACATTCTCAGCAAAGCAATACGGCATCACCCTCAATGACTTAATGCAGCCGCGCGTCTGCCTTGCGCCCGCCGCCGCCGGGCTCTACCTTGTGCTCGCCACTGCCGCCGCGGTTTACCTTCAGTGAAAGCTTTAACTTTCGCTCGCCGCTGCCGCCGCCGTTTACCTTGCGCTCGCCGCTGCCGCCGCGCTATACCTTGCGCTCGGCACTGCAGCCGCAAAAACCTCGTAATCATCTTCCCTGTCCGCCACCCTTGGAACCACAAATGGTGCTGCCGCAGGTGCCACCATCAAGCTCACCGTTGCACTATCCCTATCGGTCTTTAATTCGGAGACCAAATCCACCCCAAAGTAGGTGGACACAATTTGGCGCTGCCTGCTCCTGCTAGGCCCGGCCGCCGTGCTGGTACTTGGGTTGCTGTATAATTCCCGGAGGAATGACTGTGGCCCATATTTCCCAAGCACGGAGCCGAACGCGAACACTGAGGAGGGCGGGCCGGGTGGTGCGCCTCTCATAGTGCTCAACAACGGAGCTGCCATTTTACGAGTTTTTAATACCCGTTACACTCCACCCTGGGTAGGCCGATGCCCTCCACAGCCGTTTGGCTTCCAGACACTCCCACGTCGCCTCCAGCCCCGTGGTACTACACATTGTGCCCTACAAACGCCTCTCATCCTCCTTCTCCCCCTATCTTTACCTTCCTACCTAATATCTGACCCAAACCGCGCTTTGGATTTCAAATAACCCACCCAAAAAAGCGCGCGTTTGCCTCCAGCGGGGGGGGGGGGTGTGGCTTACAGCCGCACCCACGGCGGAGATCCCCCGGCCGATCTCCCCGCGGGAAGCGGCTACCCTACTAAATAAACTAGTGCGTTCGCCCAGGAGGCGGGCGCACGGGGAAGGCAACGAAGTAACCAACCGTTTTGACCGCCTTCTTCTTCCCCGACCGCTTCGCCGTTCCTAGCGCCATTCCGCTCCTCGACCGCGCTACCCGCGTTCCTTCTGCAGCAGCTATCGCTACCATGTCGCACGCCTCCACAGTAACAGTTCCCAAATCTCGCGAATGAACACGGATCTCTCCAGTCTCTCTTGTGATGTTCTTTGCGATGGACGCATCGCGAGTCCTAGACGTTTCCGCGGAAAGAAAAAGGAAACAAAAAGAAAGGTTTCTATTGCAATTCCTGAAAAATATTGAATACATTACAGTATTGGGGTGTGACTGTACCCTTCTCAACGGCTCAATTTGGGTCGGTTTAGAATTTTCAAAAAATCGGTCATTTTACCGCAGTACTGGCCAGTTTCCCGATACCAAAAAATCTTTGGTTAGCGGCTCTCCAGGCCATCCGGCTCAATTTGGGCCACCTCCCCGCGGCACTTTCACCGCAGTTGCGACAGGCCGAGCAACGTTCGCGCCGCGGAGTCGTGCCGATCTCCACGAGAACTCCCTTTGTTCCTCTGCAACCCAACCGCCGATCGCCTTGGCCACTGTTCTAGGGGAACATCATCAAAAGAAGCCCAAAAACTACTCTCTAAGTTACGCGCAATGCCATCGCCCTTGACAGGCGCCCTGTTTTCTTTTTCACAAATCAAATTGCTCGACAAAGTACGACTGTGACATTTAAAAGCCTTTGAGCTTACGTCTTCCACATGCGATACACAGTTAATGTTGTAGTTGGCGTGAGAGACTTTCGAAGTCAACACTGCCGCCGCTTGCATTTTGCCAATTTTTTGGCGTCCTGATCGATTCAAAACCGCCATTTTTGGAGCTCGTATCTCGCTCAACAGAATGTTTTGAACTCGATAATCTGACCGAAGGACACAAGATACTTTTGCAAGCGCTTGTGACGCTGGTATCTTACCGTCTGTTAACGCATGAATTTTAGATTTTAGTCTCATGTCGGTGGCCCGTGCGGCCACATTTGTTCTTTGCCACATCAAAACACGCTCGTCACTGCAAGGAGAATCCTCATGCTCCCCTGTGGACCCATTTGCGGACCTCCCCTGTGGACCCATTTGCAGACCCTGAAAATGTCGCGAAATGGACAAAACGATAGGTCATAGGCCACGAGCCACATTTTATGAATGAGGCCCTGGAATCCTCCGAAATAGACTGGTATCCGGCCACGGCCAGTTTGATCTTGTACGCAGTATTTGCCCACGACAAATGGCTCATGGACAGAAGACGGTCTCGTGTTTCCCTAACTGTGCGCTGGAATGATCGATTGACGAATTGATCACAGGGTTGGAGAATATGCGTTGTGTTTGCCGGAGCCATTTTGGCGTGCACTGTGCTCATAACAGCATTATCAACAGCAAATCCACGCCGCGTGGCATGAAGCGTTCTGTCGACTAAAAGGCCTTCCTCGTCTGCCGACAACACTGTCGTACGGCCAGCATGATTACCTTCTGGATCTAGCAATTTTTTTAGCTCGTCCGTCTCTGAGCTTTCGTACTCCTTTTTTTATTCGCGTAGCTGTTGTGCGGGACACGCCTGTGTCTCGGGATGCTTTGCGTGCGCTTTCACCTCTTTGGATTAACGAAAGAAGCTTGGCGCAGCGAGCACCCTCCTCTCTTCTTTTCGGGTTTCGGGATTCTTTTCTTGTGTGTGAGAGTTAGCGCTCTCATTGATGGTGGCATACTGCCACCGCCGAGCCGAACGTCGCTTACAGAGGAGGAGGGAGGGCTTCGCTGTCGGAGTGCGCGGTATGAGTTGGTGAGATGGACTGTGGGGATTTTGGGAAGGCGGGGAGGGCTAGAGGCTCGTGATTTGGAAGTGGCCCAAATTGACCCTCAGGGCCATTCCATTCATCGTGATTGGCAATCATGCAATCACGCAATCACGCGATCACGACATTAATTTAACGTCGTTCTGCAAGTTGGAGCACAAGATTAATTTTAAGTCGATTGTTTATTTCTTTAATGAGCATGACCATTTTTTAGGAAACGTAATATAAATAACCAACCACAAGGGAGCAGGCACCATTTATTGACGTGATTGCGTGATTGCGTGATTGCCAATCACGATGAATGGAATGGCGGCCCTCAGGGCCGTGGCCCAAACTAAGCCGGTGAGAAGGGTACTGTACGAAAACTGCACGTAGAAACCATAATGAAATACAGTGCACATGCGGTTCGATTGTTGCATTATATTACGTTGGAACTGTTTTTTCATGCCTTCATTACTCCAACCTAGAAATGAGCGCCTGCTGCTTCTTGGACGCGCACTGTGTTCTGTTCTGACAAATCTACACGGATAAGTGCGGATCGGCTTTGGATTAAGTTGGAGAGTGATCGCCAGAGCTAGTATGGCTCTTCTCAGTCGAAGTGGTATCTCTGAAGTACGTACATAACTTTGCGCACTTTAGCTGTTACGACAAGGACTAATATTTTAAGCGTGTCTCTGATTGCGCTCGGATATAGAATCATCTGGTACACTTGTGGAAAATGCATCTGATGAAGATCAGTGCCTCTGACGATAGGGTCTTATCCCATGTAAGCGCACACTGTACAGCGGTAGGTCTCCAGGTTCAAGGACTGACTCCGGACATGTTAGCAACATCGTAGTCCAGAAAAAAACTAGTTTAAGACTGATTGCACGTATGGTCTCGATATTTTTCTCTCTACACAGAAAGGCAATCATATCTATTAGACTTATTGTGCTTCTTAACGGCCACAACACTTATCAACCCCAAGGTACTCCAGATGGCAGCAATCCAATAGAAGGCGTTGTAGTCAGACGGGGCAGAAATCGGTTGAAAAACAGCTTCGACAGTTGCCATAAGCCATGCTGAAGCGGCTTCGCCGCTCCCGAGCGCCAGACCGGCTCCAAAGCCGAACACAATGCAGCTATTGACCGGACCGAACATGTCTTTGGCCAACAGCACGGCACATCCGATGTGACACGTGACGATGACCTTCATGAGCGCCTTGATGACGACGAAGGCAGTAAAATTGAGGGTGTTATTCACAATGATGGAGAGTAAGAGGACTAGAGCTTGAACCATCATGAAAACGGTCATGATGTTCCTTGAGCCGGAAAAAAAGAAACCGGTACCAAAGCCCGCAACATCTGTCAAGGCCGTGATGAACAGACCACAGAACGTGGCAACCAGATTTGAGATATTGAAGTACAGCACCAATTCATCAAGCGGTCTGTTGAACAGCTGGCCCAGTTTGAAGTAGTAGGGATTGAGCATGTAGGTCACGCTGGTAGAGAAGACGGCAAAGATATAAAACCAAAAGTTGGGCAGGCGAGCAAGAGTATACCAGGGGAGTCTCTCTTCTCGATCATGCTCTTGTAGCAATGAACTCTGTTCCTCTGGCACTGGGATTTCGTGACGAGACGGCAATCTCATAAGCATTGCAGGTAGCACGGCGCCGGCACCCAGAATGGCGGATGCAAGGTAAATGGCGGTGACGTGAGAAGTTCTGGCGATGAGAATACTGAACAGTTCCGTCAATCCGACAGTTCCCAGTCCAAATGCAGCGTTACCGACACCGACGGCCACTCCAGAATTATTGGGAAACCAGACTATTAGTACCTGTAGGCAAGTTAGATACACTGCGCAGCAAGAAGACAGGAGGAGCGCACGTCAGAATATGTATTTTCGAAGCTCAAATGGGATAGAAAATACGGGATGGGATAAGAATACGTACCGATGGCGAGAGGAAAGGCCTGCATAGTAACTCCGAAAAGCAAATAAAAGCGATCAGAATGTGCGGCGCCATAGCCAGAAAATGCAAGGCAAGCAAACGAAACCGCGGAGAGCAAATTAAGTAGTCGAAGACGGGAGCTTTTGCCAACCCAAAAAGGGAGGGAGGCGGGAAGCGGATCGTCCAATCCAGCGTCTAGAAAGATACCAGCAAAGATCATAACGGGTGCAGAGAAGAGATGCATAGCACCCATGGCAGTTTCCCAAAGGCCATCTAAATGGTGCGGCGGCGAGGCAAAGTCCTCCACTTGCGGGATGAAGATGCCCAGTGCGAATGTAGAGCCGCCCAGGAGCAGTAGGACGACGGCAAGGGCGCCGTGAAAGAAGCTTGCATATGATGGGGAATCTTGTAGTGGGTGAGCCATGGTGAAATGTGGATGTGTGCTAGCCGAGGTGTACTGCGAGGTTTGAATGCGGCCTTGGGGAAGGGATCGCTTGTCTTGGGCACAAGGGAGAGAGCGAAAACTTTGATGTAGTGTGAATAATCGCTCTTTGTGCCCCCCGTTATGGTATCTTGGTACCGTCGGTATATCTCACATGGGTGGTAGGAGTTTCTGGTGTTGACTACGGAAGCTGTAAGTTTCATAGATATAAAGGAGCATCCCGACGGAGCGCATGCACGCCTCGTGACAAATTTGGCTGACGCTCGATAAATAACAGAAGCAGGGTGTGTTGGAGTTGCAGAAATTAAATAGATGCCTTCAATCTCCAGATGGCGATATCATACTGAACAGGCATAGATATGGATGCAAGTTGCATCCATATCTATGCCTGTTCAGTATCTGTTGCATCCATATCTGTTGCATGATGCAACAGATATGGATGCAACAGATAAAGGAGGGTTGCCCTAATTATCGGTCACCCGCCCCAACTCGTCGGTCACCCCTAATTGTTCAAATAAATTCCCAAAAAATTAGATTCTTGTACACGTAAGGGGCCAAGTTTCAGTCCTTGGAGTATCTCCTTGCTGATTATCTCTGAAAGTAGTGGATAGATCTAAAAATAAAGCTTTCCAGTCGCTCTGCCAGAGCGTTTTACCATGACAAACGAACCCGTCACTTAGCAAGAATGCAGATTAACTGCATTCAAATCCCTCCGAAAAGGCGGGCTTATGCTTTTTGACCGAATCTTGCCATCCGATCCCTCCAGGGACACCCATGAACGCCCATTGACATCCCATCCAAGCCCTTCCTTCCAAGATGCAAGCCGCTCTCCCGCAATTGCCTCGAACGCGGCAAGGCAGGTTTACGCGCCGCCCCTGCAAGTTCGCCTCGGACCCTCCACCACCCACCCTTGTTGTGCTGCGCCCTCTCCACGCTCTCGCATACGCCCTGGTCCCCACCGTTACCCATGCGTCGCCCCTGCCAGTCCCCCTTGGACCCTCCACCGCCCACCCTTGTTGTTCCCCGCTCCCTCTACCTTCTTGCATACGCCCTGCTCCACACCGTTCCCCACGCGCCGCCCCTGCCAGTATCCCTTGGACCCCCCTTCCCGCCTCTTGTACATAAACGTCGGTGCCGGCATGTCCCCAACGGGGTTTCCACTCATTCACTCGATGGCGTGAAGAAAGCCGCGCCACTATTATAAAACCTATATAGGCTTTCTCCAAGTTTTAGAACTGGAACCCTAGAAAGACGGGAAGCAGCACAGCTTCATGAAGACGCGTCATTAGGGTTTTTCACAACTCGAGACAATGGGTCCCGAGTATGCACCATGTGTATTCGACATATATTATGAAACACATATTATGGAAATATTATTATGTGTTCGCTGTTTGGTCATATGATCTGAAGATATCCGAATATTATTATGATGTTTTCAGACCATATCGTCAAACTTTGCGTCCGTATTAAATAGTGCTTCGCAACTAATTATTGAATTTTTTGGAAGGCATTTGCCGTCATGCCTAGTACTGTATGAGCTTGCCGAGCTTGTTCCGTGCCGCATAGAGCGCCTCTGTGAAGGCTTAACAACAGTTAGTGATGACAGCAAAAGCACTGCGCCACATGTCCGGTGGGATCGCATGTGGCTGCTGTCTATAGTGGGGCACTATATGTACCCACACAGGTTTGTGCCACCGTTGGTAGTGATACATTCGACCGATGCATATGGGTGCGAGTAGATCTAGGGTGAAGGTGTGAGCGTGTGAGGGTTTAAGGGTTTTGAGTTGAAGTGCGTTTGCTCATGCGATTTGCCAATATAATAACCGAATACTGTCGTAAAAGTCGCCAGGCCTCCGTGACGAGTGTCACAACATACAATGCGGGTGTAGCGTTTCTAACAACGTTAGAACGCCCCACAGAAACCCTACACACGAATTGGAGAAGGACGGCGCTTACGCCTACTGCTTTCCCTTCTCTCGGTAGATTAACTTTAGCTGTCCGCTTCCCACTGGGACCACACCCATCCAGCGCTCGCGAGAAAGGGATAGAGAATCTTTTTTTGGTTTCTTTTAGACAACAACCCTAGTGCGGCTGTCGTGACAGTGGCGTGCCTGCCGCCAGATGCATCGGCCGCTCTCTCTCCGCCGTGACCTGACGGTACTCGCGCTGCACCTCCGTCGCGAGACAAATCACTCCACGATCGTGCTAGTTGCTTATGTTGTGCTCGAGCCGCGCGCAACACTGCCACACACTCGCACGCCTCGCGTACCTTGGGCGCGCTTTGAAGCCTTATAAAACCGCTTTACATCGTTTCGCCTCGGGTCAAACCGCGCTGTTTCGTGCCCCGATATGGCGAACTTGAAAATGAAAACAGCGCCTACATATTCATGGCTGCTGCTGTGTGTTTTTCAACACGCACCACACCACTTGTAATCTCAACGTGCGGTGCTCGATACGCTGATGCAAAAATTGCAGCGACGCGCAGCCGCGAACTGGCCGACGCCACCTGGGCATTTAACAGGCGACGGATTTTGGACGCACAGTGAGCCATGTGGAACACGGCGGTGCGCCAGTCGCGAGCTGGTCGACCGACGCAATCGAGAGGGAATCTGCATGCACAGCGAGCCATTTGGAACACGGCAGTGCGCGGCTCCGAATACGCCGCCTCCGAATACGCCGGCGCCGCTGAACGCGCTGCGATGCAACGGAATACAGTTTTGAGGGTGTGTCTTAACTTGCCCGGGTTTGCTTTGCTTGCCCGAGTTTGCCGGTCATTTATTAATTTTTAATGTAAGTACACGCCTTCCCCTTACGTTAGTAGTGGACAGGTGTCCCAGAGCGACGGTGCTGACTTACAGAGGCATACAGCGCCATAAATTGCCAGAACGCAACGGGGAGGACACTGTGGGTTCTACAAATTCGCTCCGAGGAACCATCGACAGGGACGTGACATGCTGCAGCGTCAAACAACTTCGCCCCAGGGACGCGTCGACATGGACGCGAGACGCTGCAGCGTCGCTCGCTTCCGACCCAGAACGTGGCCATTGCGGGTGATCCCAGATCACCGGGATAAATAATTGATCTCACCCCCTACTTCTCTCCTTACTACTCCGCGGGATAGCGTATCTATCGCCGGCGCTGTTTGGTCAAAAAACGGATCTACAACCACTGCCCAGTATCGCCGTTCGCCTCCCCTCCTTTCTTCTCAATCTAATCACTCCTACGCAATGCACGGCAATAGAATCATCACTGCTACGACCGCACTAACCGCAACCGCAGCTCTACACTATGTATTCTCCCTCCTTTCATTGCACTAAGCTATTTCAAACTGTCCTCGACCCCGAAAATTCACAAAGCCCTTAGATCTCCGACGGGGATGGACCTTTGTCAGAGCCAACAGGATTTTTAACGACAAAGAATTCAGTCGTACATACCGTATGGAGGGGGGGATAATATTTGGTCAGAAACGCCCGCTGCAGACGAGGAAGCAATAGTGAGAGACTTTGCGTTGGTGGCCCCCGTCTTCCGAATGGTGGGAGTCGGAGACATGCGCCAGAGGCGCGGAGAACGGCGCACGTGGCATTGAGGTGTGGAAGCCATTTTCAGGAAAGTAGTCGGCAGAGAGGTGCTTCGTAGAGTTGTGTTGCCTTTGCGAGATGGCAGGTGCATAGATTTTTGCAAAGGGGGAGTTGAGGATGTTTTCGGCAAGGGGCAAGCACTGCGTCCACCGGAGCACAGCGTCCAAATTCGAAAGTTACAAACCTAAAAAAGTAGCCAATATATGATTGACATTTGTCATTACACACTGACATAACTTGAGCTTGCAGTGTAGGGCCGTACTTAGTTTCAAATCATATATTAACGCCCAGTAGCCAATAGTAGTGCAAATCATGGCTCCGGGCAAGCAAACCCGGGCAAACTCGCCCGAGTTTGAATAAGAGAACGATATTTCGTATTATAGAGTGATAGTTCATTCAATATCAGCGTCCAATCAATGTGCGCACTGACCCAGGAATACACTTCTCTCCGCCCCTCCCTGTACAAAACAATAAAACACTTGTGCCTTCTCAACGTGTCCTATCTACTTCGATGCACCTTTGCCAGCGCACTATGCCAAAGCGCTTCCACATGTGAATGCCAGTGTAAATTCCAGCTGTGAATGCCAGCTGTGAGTGCCAGTTTCTTCCGGGGCGCACATTGCTTCCACCTCGCCCCATGTTGATGGACACCCGTCCTGCTTCCACAGCGGCGTGTATCTCGCCGTTTGTTCTAAGAGCATCCACCCCGCGGCTTACCTCGCAGCTTACCTCGCTGCTTGTATGGGCAAATCAACGATAAGCCTTTCTGAACTGCAACCGCCTCCGCCAAGGCCCTGTCACTTTATGTCTTTCGGCGTCTTGCATTAAAGATAATACCTTGAATGCAAAGACGCCGAAAGATTTTACTAACCAGCAAAGTTACTGCTTCCGCAATATCTTTGAAACAACTTGCCCAGCTCATTTCCTCCACACCTCTGTATGATAATATCTGGTAGATAGTACAAGAATGTCACCCAGAGAAACCAAATCACAAAAACTCTCGTGATCCCGTGATCCGCTTAGGTCACTGTCATGCTTCAGCTCATCGTTTGAGCTCATGCATTCACAATGTCCATACCACATGCGAGCACTTAAAAACAAGTTGCCTCTCCAGATCCACAGCTCTTCTGCCCCATCTCGCACCCCCAACCCGCAACACACCCAAATCCTTGGATCAGAGATATCAAATAAAGCGCCGTATGATGACTATCGACAATGTTATAGTCAACTCATCCACGGAGTGGGCACCGCTCAAGGAGGTCATTGTCGCCAGACTTCCAGATGATGCCTGTTTCCCTCCGGAGGGACCCGATTTTCGAGGTGAATGTAACAATGAGTATATTGCATCCACACTCAGGTGGCCTATCGGTCCGAAGCATCCCAACGAGATTCAAAAGGCAAATGCTCAGTACGACGCTTACGCTGAAATGCTCGAAGGAGAGGGAGTTGTCGTGAAGCGACCCACTCCTATTCCACAGAACAAGCCAATTGTCACTCCTTTCTGGAGTATCCCAACGATGTATAACTGCTGCCCGAGGGATAAACTTTTGGTGGTAGGTCGTGAGATTCTTGAGGCGACCATGTCATTGAGATCCCGTTTGTTCGAAGAATACTGTTACCGTGATATCATCCTGGATTACTACAAGAGAGACAAGGGCATGATCTGGACTGTTGCTCCGAAGCCAATGATGCGCGATTCTCTTTATACGCATTCAGTTGATGTTGCCAACGGCGTCAAAGTGCCCTTCTGGGACAGGCAAAATGAACGATACAAGAACTATTCCGGCTATATTTCTGCAGAAGACGTGAAGAGTAAGAAGCACAAGTTTGAATTCACTACTACTGAAGACGAGCCGATATGGGATGCCGCTGATGTGGCGCGTTTCGGTAAAGATCTTTATATAATTCGGAGCAACACCACCAACAGAAGTGGCTTTGAATGGTTGCAACGCCATTTCGCCCCTCTTGGTGTTGATTGTCACCTGATGCATTTCCCAGATGATTTGAACCCGCAGCATATCGACGGAAATTTTGTACCTCTGCGTCCGGGACTGGTACTATGCAACCGTGAGAGGCCGCCCCTAGAAAGTGAGGTTACCAAGTTCAGGGATGGCAACTGGAAATTTGTGAAATCTGCAGCGCCGAATGCCATCAACTATCCCATGCCTGACTTTTGTGATTGCAGTGCCAACGGAATGAGCGTGAATGTGTTCAGTATTAATGAAGAAAAGGTTGTTGTGGAGGAGAACGAAAAGGAACTCATCTCGCAACTCGAAGATCTCGGGTTTGATGTGATTCCGCAAGGCTTCCGAGAAGTATACCAGTTTGGGGGCGGGTTGCAGTGTGCTACAAATGATATTCGTCGCGATGACGAGCTCAAGGATTTCTTTGCAACTGACTACAATTAGTGGAAAATATGAAGTCCCGCGTTATACGCAAGGCGGTTGCCTCGTTAAATTCTTCTTTCCTGACTGCTGCAATATGTAGCAAGGCCGAAGGAGTGACAGGCAGTGTTTCGAATTTAGTGTTCCAAAATAAACAGCAATTGAGTAAAAGGTTTGTCGCCTTGGTCGCCGAACATGAAGGGTTATCGCCTGCCTACGAGGCAAGACTAAAAACCCCAGAGGGCTCCGCTCATATAAGCACCATGTCAACAGTCAATAACACTTCGTCTTCCATGGATTTTGAGCTGATTTTGCACATCTTTTTGACCTGGACTCGATACTGCGCGTCACATCAATATTAGTGCGTAAATGTAGCTCGCAGAGAAAGAGCAAGCATAGAAAGAGCGACGCAGAGGGCAGCTCGAGTGAGGGCCAGTCCTAACAAAGGACTTTCCTCTCGTTTTTCCTTTCCCTCGCCCCGTTTTTATTGAGTTCTTCACTAAAATCGGAAGCACATTGCTGTAGTGTTTACTGTAATGCCATCCCATAGTTCCACTCCTCGGAAATGGAACAGAGTGGGTGCATCCAGAAATTGCCACTCCATCACTCCAACACAGTATGATAAATGTCGAAAAATGCAACTATGCCACCACTGCGCTACTCAGCCCGCCAAACCTGAGCGCGGCTGCCGTATTCCGTCTTACACCATTTCCCCGCCTTCTCGCTTTCCTTGACTTCAACACATGCCAACATCATGCCAAACACCCCTCCTCTCCCAATTATTGCGACGTCGTTCGCGCCCATGGCTTCCCGTCAAGTCCTATCTGGTGCCGAGGTCATCCTTGACCTCGTCGATCAAGATCTACACGTTGTAGCCCCACCCCCGACCCCCACCACGCCCAACCCAGTCACACCAACCGCAGCCACGGGACCCCCGAGACCCACACATGCCACATCCACCCCGCCGCCAACATTCCGCACACGGTTTGCCACCTCCCGAAATTGTCTGATGAAATGACGCCACCTGGCATGGCTATTTTGGGAGACACCGCCTTCGTAAACAACCTAAAAGCCGCCAATGGAAAAGTTGTCCGTTCGCGCAAGGCAAATGAAACCAGCGACATTCCCGCATCCTCACACCTCGCGGCTGTAGACATCGTTTTACAACGCGTTATGCCAAGCGAGCGACACAGCGCCGAGTGGGGTGTTCGTGCAGTGAAGGGTCCGTTGGCTCGCCTTAAAGTACCCTTGCCAGCGGATTCTAACAATAGGATGCGACTTTTACTCATCTGCTGCCATCTTTTCAATTTGCGCGCTCGATTTGTTGGACTCAACCAGATCCGAACTACGTACAGTCGCACGCAGTTGCCGTTCCAACAGTAAACGTTTGGGTAGTTTGAGAAAGGACTGTGCAAAGTTTATTTCTGTTCCGTATCCTTTCTTACTGCGTTCTGAGCTAGCATGTTTAAGACAGCCTTCATTTCAGAAGAGCTGCTGAAAGCTTCATTTCGGCAAATGTAGGCCAGCGGATTGCAAAATCAGTTCGGTCTTGTTTTCGAACAACGCGCATCAGCACCTCTAAGCTGTAGTCTAACCATACACTTACGCTGGAGGATACAATTCCAAAAATAGGGCACATATTGTAGACTGTTCCTTTTGTTTTGATGTACCATAACGCCAGACCGAGCAAATCAATGCTGTTAAGGAAAGGCTTACGTCCTCTCGTCTTTACACCGTTTCTGTATGGGCTCCCAAAATTAAACCCAACGCGCTCAGACTCAAAGAATGGCAGAATACGCTGTAAAATGATGTCCTTTGTGAAGTTTGTCGCGAGGAGAAAGTCATCGTCGATGCCGCATGACAAAATTTGATTCCATGCCGTTGTCAGCCTGGTGAAAACCGGTCGGATCAATGCCGCTCGGCGATACTGAGGGGGCTTTCGGGATCTTCGTTTTCTCCCGTTTATCCTTCTCCTTCGAAGAACCCTCCATGTGAGGGAAACAGCAGCAACAGATGCTGCTGCTGTTGCAAGCACTGCGAGTTCTTCGAGAGCTTGTGTGCGTTTTGGGCTGGCCATCATAGGATATGGGCAATTTTGGGTCGTCCGTGTTGATCCTGAGAGCAGGAAGGGGATCAACTCCCCACAAAATGTTATCATATTGCAGAGTGGCGGAGTGCAAGGACCCCTCGGGGGTCCTTGCACTTCAGCAGAAGTGGTGGATCGCCCACTACATTTCTAGCCCAGCGGAGGCCTGTGATTGGCCAAAAAGTGTCGCAGTGTTGGAGTGGCAATTTCTGGATGCACCCACTGGGTGCATCTGGACGGTCTGCAGATCCATGCAGAATGGAAGGTACAGCAACGCCTTCTCGCGCATGCACATGGCCCAGTCTGACTCCCTGTAGCTCGGCAAAAGCAAAGCTGGACGACGTGTTGCTATAATGAGGTCCCTCGATGTGCATGACCAAAACGGTCATGATAGATCAGCAACCGCCAGTATCCAACACAGTCCTCCCCAGCACTCCCTTTCCTTCGTCAGGGTTTCAAACTTCTTCTCTACCAATGAAGTTAAGTCCTGAAATCCACCGCCGAATTGAGCTCGTTCTATTGCGAATGCGGCGTAGAAAGATGTTTTTGTACCTGCTCGCGGCTGCGGCAATTCTTCTCAATTCCAAAAAAGACAAGAAAACGTCGAAAGTACGCCTGGAATTGCGTTTGCAGGAACAACTGACGTTTGAAAATTTGACTCTGGTTTATGATGACGCTTTGTTCTGTAGGGCTTTCAGAATGCCACGCCAAGCGTTTCATGAATTGCTTAGTAGCGTTAGGCAGTCTCTCTAGAAGAATATCGAAATGGGACGACGGGCAACACGACTGACCATTCCACCGGATGTACGCCTTGCCGTGACGCTGAGGATGATGGCTGGCGCAAGTTATCTAGACTTAATGGGTACTTATCAGATGTCTAAGACATCAGTTTACAATGTGTTTCATTCTACGTGTACAGTATTGTCAGAAAGATTGCAGCTGCCCGGGTTGCCGTCCACAGTGTCTGGTTTACGTCACTCGGCAAAAACTTTCAAGATGTCTCGTAATCCCCCGTCTGCGTTTTCTGGTTGCGTTGGCGCTTTGGACGGTATAGCCATCAAAATCAAGAAGCCCGCGTGGTGCCACGCACCGAGCACTTTCTTTTGTAGAAAGCTGTATTATGCTTTACCTGTGCAGGCTGTAGTTGACGCTGACTATAGATTTTTATGCTGCTCGGCGCGTTGCGTAGGTTCAACTCATGACTCTGTGGCCCACACTGTATCGGCACTTGGGCATTATCTAGAATCTGGCAAGTTGCATTTCGAGTGTTGGATAGCGGGGGATGAGGCATATGTTTGTACGGAGTCTCTGATTACGCCCTTTCCTGCAGCCACTGCGACGGACGCGGAAGACGCATTTAATTATTATCATTCTTCCCTCCGAATGCATGTAGAGCAAGCTTTTGGGATGCTAGTCGGTAAGTGGAGGATCTTGAGCCAACTCAGTTTTTCGCTACACACTTACGCGCGTTTAATTGTTCTTTCTATGAAGTTGCATAATTTTGTTCTCGATCGTGCAGATGTGAGGATTACGAGAAGTTTTACTGGGGAAGAATTGGCCGAACTGGAGGGCGATGAGCAGGGTTGGTATCGCAGGATGAAGGATGACGCCGCAGAGATTGTGGCGAATACCAAGGAAGCGCGTCATGAGCTGTCTAGAAAACGGAGGAGCATGGTTGACATTATAGAAAGAAGGGGCCTATCGAGACCACCGGTGATAGATGCAGAGGGCCTCCGAAAAAGAAGTCGAAAGTAGATAGCCTGTGTTTTTACCTTGTCATCGTGGCCGAAACCAGCGTGGGTTGGCGGTGGGAACTCGCAAGTCCTATCAAGGCTCGGTCTCCTCCCTGGGCTTGCTAGCGCGTGTAGTCTAGGATGTAGGTCACTGCCACTACCTTAGAGAGCCGCCATGCCGCATGCATCGGACGACTGTGAAAAGCCGCGGTTTCGCGCCTCCTATTCTCGACCTTCTGCTTGCGGAGGGGGGTCAAACATCCGGCGCCCTTCGCAGTCACCGCATCACCAACGCGCGCGGCCTTTTCTCGCATACATGAGCAGTTCGGGGCGGTCCAGGTCGCCTTGTCCTGGCTGTTTAAGCCTTCGGTGGGGAGGCCCGCGCCCGCTGAGCCACGATAGCAGTGGGGCGCCCTTGTCTGGCCAAGCAATTGCTGGCGACAAGTCATCTAGCAACCATTGGTTGCTGGGGTTGGCAACCCCAGCGGGCCTTCGGTCACGCCTCACGCCCACACGTGTCCACATGTCGCACCCCGTGCCAGATTTTGTGGCGCGTCTATGTGCACAACTCGGCCCTCCCCCGCCTCGACGCCTGTGGTGATTCCTTCATATGACTCCCAGTCATTCCTCTCTCATGTCGTTGGCCAACGGCACCTCCCCTTTTGCTCAGTCGTTATCATAGGTTATGGGCCTCATTGCTACTGCTGCGCACACGAGTTCGAACCACACCGTTCAGTATCCTTCTTTTCTCACTACCCTATCACAAGCTCACACGTCAACCACTCGACGTCGTGAGAAGCAACCTCTCACAAGCCGACACGTCCCACACCCGACGTATTCAGATGACGCAAAATACCTCATTTTTCAGGTTCCAAGGTCCACCCGCACTGTAAGACGTCACCAACACGCATCAAAAACCTTCAGGTTCATGGTACACCTGCGCTCATACTTTCAAAGTCAAGAACCCGGCAACCTTTCTCATTTAGTCACTCACATACGAGTTCAGGGGGACTGTGGTGATTCCTTCAACTCTTTCATTGAACTCGTCTGCTCATTCCCACTCTGCGATGCTTCCTTCTCTGCTGATTCCATCATATGAGGGAGGGTCTTAACTTGCCCGGGTTTGCTTTGCTTGCCCGAGTTTGCCGGTCATTTATTAATTTATTAATGTAAGTACACGCCTTCCCCTTTCGTTAGTAGTGGACAGGTGTCCTTTCCCTTACGTTAGTAGTGGACAGGTGTCCCAGAGCGACGGTGCTGACTTACAGAGGCATACAGCGCCATAAATTGCCAGAACGCAACGGGGAGGACACTGGGTTCTACAAATTCGCTCCGAGGACGCATCGACAGGGACGTGACATGCTGCAGCGTCAAACAACTTCGCCCCAGGGACGCGTCGACATGGACGCGAGACGCTGCAGCGTCGCTCGCTTCCGACCCAGAACGTGGCCATTGCGGGTGATCCCAGATCACCGGGATAAATAATTGATCTCACCCCCTACTTCTCTCCTTACTACTCCGCGGGATAGCGTATCTATCGCCGGCGCTGTTTGGTCAAAAAACGGATCTACAACCACTGCCCAGTATCGCCGTTCGCCTCCCCTCCTTTCTTCTCAATCTAATCACTCCTACGCAATGCACGGCAATAGAATCATCACTGCTACGACCGCACTAACCGCAACCGCAGCTCTATTCTCCCTCCTTTCATTGCACCAAGCTATTTCAAACTATCCTCGACCCCGAAAATTCACAAAGCCCTTAGATCTCGGACGGGGATGGACTTTTGTCAGAGCCAACAGGATTTTTAACGACAAAGAATTCAGTCGTACATACCGTATGGAGGGGGATAATATTTGGTCAGAAACGTCCGCTGCAGACGAGGAAGCAATAGTGAGAGACTTTGCGTTGGTGGTCCCCGTCTTAAGAATGGTGGGAGTCAGAGAGATGCGCCAGAGGCGCGGAGAACGGCGCACGTGGCATTGAGGTGTGGAAGCCATTTTCAGGAAAGTAGTCGGCAGAGAGGTGCTTCGTAGAGTTGGGTTGCCTTTGCGAGATGGCAGGTGCATAGATTTTTGCAAAGTGGGAGTTGAGGATGTTTTCGGCAAGGGGCAAGCACTGCGTCCACCGGAGCACAGCGTCCAAATTCGAAAGTTACAAACTTACAAAAGTAGCCAATATATGATTGACATTTGTCATTACACACTGACATAACTTGAGCTTGCAGTGTAGGGTCGTACTTAGTTTCAAATCATATATTAACGCCCAGTAGCCAATAGTAGTGCAAATCATGGCTCGGGGCAAGCAAACCCGGGCAAACTCGGGCAAGTTAAGACCCTCCCTGACTCCCAGTCATTCCTCTCTCATGTCGTTGGCCAACGGCACCTCCCCTTTTGCTCAGTCGTTATCACAACGCCCACGTAAAATTTGCGACAGTCGTTTGCTAGCATTTTACACTCTGTTTAGGAAACAGAGCACCACCGGACGGCAGAAGGGTACCCAGAGTTCAGCTTTTTGAAATCAAATGCCTCCTTGGCATCGATC